TAAAAGAAATAAAATTAAAAGTTCATATTATTTAAGTTTTCAATATACACAATACAATTAGGATATGGTCTTATACATTTAGTCGATTTGTATATTTTTGTGATTGTATTTGCTTCTAACATATTAGAAACAAATATAGAAATCTTTGAAAAAAAGTAATTTGTGCTTTATTAACTATTAATTTTATTTCTTTTAGTTTCTTAATAGGGTGTAGCAAAATATTCCAACATTGATTCATAACACTGCAAGTAAGTTTTCTAAAATATTTTGCTATGATGATATATTACCTAAAGTAAAAAAAACTGGATATTATTGGGTTTTACCCAAATTGTCACAGAGAGTTGAATTAGAGTATAATATTATTGATAATACTTGATTTCCAAATATTAGCTCAGATTCAGCTTGCTGCTACTAGTCACAATTATACTATTCAGAAAAAACTCACGAATAGCTGCTATTATATAAACATATTAAATTAGATAAATAAATTTTTTTACTTAAATTTTTTTTAAATTACTATTTACTAAAATAATTCCATTTACTTACTTCATTTTTTTTTGGTTTTTTTCAAATTTAAATACAAAATATTTAGTCATATCAGGCTTTTGCAGAAGAGCCTTAATTGTTTTTATAATGAGACAGTAATGAAGGCTATATAAAACATCATTATTTTTTATTGAAGTCAAGATTTGGTGCAATGATTAATTCTATCTGTTTATACATCTTTATAGAATTATTTGGCAGTGACAATACCTCCAAATTGAAATTTTTATTAAAGAACAAAATTAACAAATTTATTGCTTTATTTGATAAATCATAATCAATACAAAGCTTTGCGAATTCTTATAAATCTCATTGGGCTATTCTGAAATATAATTATCAATTATTTTATTTACCACATCTTCAAAACTAGCACTACAAAAAAATCTTTAGAATCTATTGAGTCAGTTTCTATATTGGAATCCTCTGCAATAGAATCTTCAGAAGTTTCATTATTATTATATTCAATATGAGAATCTTCAGTAACAAAATCCTTCATAACAGAATCCTTAATAATAAAACCTTCAGCAACATCAAGATATTAAGAGTATACTATCTATAAATTTATTCAAATAATCTCGCGTCTTCATTAATATCATT